GATCTAGGTCAAACCAAAGTGGCTCCCACTAACTTTCATAAAGTCAGATTTCGGTGGGCCTAAATCGGCTAGGGTTCCGCACGTAACCTCTTGATGAGGTGTGGGGCCCACCACTGAGGGAGGTCATCCAATGACCAAAAGGGACATCATGGCAATGATGTGCGTTCAGCCATGGTGTGCGCAAGAGCCACTGTCGATTGAGCATGGGCCAAGCACTTATGGCCCATGATCGGCCGACCTATTATGACGTTGTATGGGGAGGGGGTCGCGACCACAAGGAAGTCGTGGTTGAGTCTAACTACGCAAGGCCATGTGCCGACTTCCACAGGTACTGTTACTTTCCCAAGGGGCCGGACCTCTTCTCCGCTGAAGCCCACCAAAGGTGTTCGCGGGCCTCAAGTCACTTCCCTGCAATTGAAGCTGGTCGAACGCGACTTTGAAGAGAATATCTGTCGAGCTACCTGAGTCAACGAGGACGCACCTGACCTCGAAGTCGTTGATCCTTAGCTTTATGACAAGCGCGTCGTCGTGAGGGTATTGGACCCCTCGCGCATCGTCCTCCATGAAGAAGATTGGTTCTTCTGTCTTCGGCCACTTCGGAAGATTTTGTTCTTCCCTGGCAGCTTCGCGAACTGACGTTCGAACTGCTGCTGAGGTACAACCCGCAACGATTGAGCCTCCCACTATCACGTTGAAGGTGCCCCGAACCGGCCTCTCTTCCGGAGGCTACCTCTGTGACTATTCGGCCAGCCTGCTGCTGGACTCGGGAGCATCCTTATAGTGCTCCCCTTGCCGACCTGCCTTACTATTATTATTGTTAATATTTTGTACAAAATTCCTTAAATATCTGCGACGGATCAGCTCCTCTATCTCGTCGTAGAGGTTCTTACAATTTTCAGTACTGTGATCGTGATCTCTATGAAAACTACAGTACAAGTTCTTATTTCTCTCATTGGGATTCCCCCTCAGGCTGGGTGGCCACTTCATGTACGGGGCATCCTTGATTGCCATCAGGATTTCGGCCGCTTCACGTTCAATGGGGTGTAATCAATTCGGTCCGCTACAGGAGCTCGAAACGGCTGACCCGGCTTTGCCCCCCAAGCTACGTCCTTCTTCTTCCGGCTGTCTCCATGGCTGGGAGGTTCTCCTTCTCTTTTTCTTTTCTTGGGCACGCTCTCGCCCTTCTGGTTGATCTCTTCTTTCGTGGCTATGAACCTGTCCGCAAGCTTGAGGAATTCAGTTATGGTCGCCGGCTGGTTCACTACCATGTGCCACTTGAATTCTTTGTGCGTCACGCCCTACTTAGCTGTTGCAAGGCGCACTGCGGGGTCCAGGCGTGGTATCTGCATGCATACATCATTGAACCGCTTGATATAGCCCCGGATGGACTCTCCCTCTCTCTGGACTATGCTGAGAAGGCTTTCCTCAGTTCGCGGGCACCGCTTGCTGGTGACGAAATGGGATGTGAAGGCTTGCGCGAACTGTGCCCAACTTCTTATAGATCCGGGTGCAAGGTTTCAGTACCATGTGCGGGTCGCTCCTCGAAAAGTGGTGGAGAAAGCCACGCACATGCAAGACTCACTAACCCTCGCCAGGTGCATCTGCGACTAGAAAGCGTCTACATGATCATTTGGGTCGAACGACCCATCATACTTGTCGAGAGGGGGGAGCTTGAAGTCCTTAGGCATTGGAACAACCAGGAGCTCGGGAGACAGGGGGGAAAGAATTGAAAGAAGGGGAGCTTTAACTTCACCCGAGCTTACCTCTTCCCTGCCTCCGAGCTCGGGCAGGTTGTGGGTGGTAGATCTGCGAGCTCGGCGATAACGTCTCTGCTTCTTTGCGGGTTCCGCATTGGTGCTGCTCACCTCCGTGCTGTCAGGAATGGTTTGTGTAGGAAGTAGCTCGGGCCGCTAGTGATGGCTGTGGACAGAGGGATCCTGCTTGGAGTCTGCAGTCAGGATCTCGAACCGGTTCTCCAGAAGCGGGGTTTCGAACTTTGATTGCCAAGGTGACGTAGACCTGGCAAGCTGGGGTTCTCCCGACCTGACTGCCCACGGCGAGATCGGAGTGGCTGGTCTTTCTTTTCTGCCTCAAGAGGAGGCTTGGATCTTAGAAGCCTCTCCTTGGCGAGAAGGGCGTTCATCCTGGCGGCGAGACCTAGCTTGCCGTGAGGCTGGGTGCCGGGGAGGGAGCTGAGGTTGAAGCTGAGGCAGCTTAGGGAATTGCTACTAATAGTGATACTGAGAGACTTGTGCAGCACTTGCTGCTGGTAGAGCTGGAACTGCTGAAACTGTTGCATCTGGGCTTGCATGGCCCGCATGGACTGCACCAGATTGTCAAGTTGGCTCTGGCTTGTCGTCGGAGGGACAACAGTCGGTTCGTAAAGGCTGTCTCAACAGAGGGGGGAAGGGGAACACTCACAGGCGGCGCTGCTCGTGGTATGTTTAGGCTAGGGACTCCGTCCACCGAAAGGGGAATGGTGAATTGCACAATACAGACCACGGGGACCTGGGGTTGTTCCCCGGTGATGTCCATCTCCATGCTACATCCGGCATTACTTGAAGAAGCCATGGGTGCTAAGTAGAGAGCTGCTTTATGGGCTTGTTAATTAGCCGTATTAGGCCACGATGTTGAGTTGTTTTTCGTGCTGAGTCAGATCCACGTGCCACCATTTCGTAGGTTGGGTCAAATCATCCTCCATCAATATCTTTATAATATATTGTAAAAATTAAAAAAACAAAAAAACGATGAACTGAACCAGTCAACCAGTTAACCGATAGGTTTCAGTTTGGTTTCGGTTATCGGTTTTCCAAAAATCGATACTACCGGTTTGGTTACAAAAAATGCCCCATGGTTCGGTTAACCGAACCATGAGCACTCCTAGATGGAGTCCATGGCTTGGAATATTTTCTTTTTCTCTTTGTTAAGCATTGGGAATTAACCATTAAAGATCACCATTACAATGGAAATCAATGTTTTTGAACTATCGTTGACCCGGATGATCAAATCGTTCGGACCGAAAACCGTTCAAGCGATCTGTTCTGTTTTACCCCAAACCTGGTATTTGGTAAAAAAACCGTTGAATTAGTCAACAAACCATTGATCTGGATGGTTTGACCGTTGAATCGTTCAACCCGGAGAACGCTTTGCGGCAAGGTTTTAAAAATTGAGAAATCTCATATCTGAAACTAAAAAATCTCATATCTTAGACTGAGAAATCTCAGATATATCTCTCTCACGCAAGACAGTGAGAGAGATCTGAGATGTGTGAGATAGTGAGCGAGAGTGAGATCTGAGAATGAGAAACCCCAGATCTACTTTCATTGCCAGTTTGCCACCATAGCCAATGTTGTTGCGGTTGTACATAGTTTGCCATCATCGTCGCAGTTGCAATCACTGTTGCCGCTGTAAGTTGTCATCGTTGTCGCCGCTACAACCTGCAAGTCCTTCTCTTCTTCTTCTTCTTCTTCTTCTTCTTCTTCTTCTTCTTTCAGCCGACAATTTTCTCAAATCTCTCATTCAAACCTTATTTTCTCTTATACAGTATGCATCTTACCCTAATATTCCAATCTAATGGGTATCGTTGTCGCCGCTGCAACCTGCAAGTCCTTCTCTTCTTCTTCTTCTTCTTCTTCTTCTTCTTCTTCTTCTTCTTCTTCTTCTTCTTCTTCTTCTTCTTCTTCTTCTTCTTCTTCTTCTTCTTCTTCTTCTTCTTTCAGCCGACAATTTTCTCAAATCTCTCATTCAAACCTTATTTTCTCTTATACAGTATGCATCTTACCCTAATATTCCAATCTAATGGGTAAGATGTTCAAACCGTTTGACCTGAACAGTCGAACCGCTGACCCGGAAACAAATGGCCAGAAGTAAGGAGATGCTCCCAATGCAAGGCTGTAAAGGCTGTTCGAACACTGTTGACCCGGAACAGGATTTGCAGTTACTGAAGCCGATATCTGTGGTTTAAGGCATGATTTTGAAAATCGGATTAGATTGGATGATAGGACCGGTTTACTCGAAAACCATTCATGTAAGTGGTTCCATTTCTCCCTAAAACCAATTCTGGGCCAAAATCTGTTGATTTGCTCATTGACCCATTGACCCAAGCGGTCACTTCCTGATAATGGTTTTTGACATTTTTTAATTTTATTTTATTTTTTAAAATCAGAACGAACCATCCTTTCAAATCGGACTCTCAGACCGTTTGACCCGGAAACCAGTGGCCAAACACTTCCATATCCGGTCTGATTTTTAAAACCCTCGGTTTAAAGAAAATAGAAAAATCAAAGAAAAATACAACTTGTGATTGTGGTTAATTTACGTCATGAAGACTCTCATTCATGAAGAAAAGTGGAGTTTATACTCATTAATTTACGTCAATGAGAACTACATATTTACATCAATAGTTCCGACGATATCAGTAGTCATAATGCCGGGTCAAAGTAGAAAAGATCAGTTGGTGGGGATTACAATCAACAACGAACAGCGATATACAAAATTCTTATTCAAATAGTCAATCAAAACACACTGTGATGAGGTGGAGTTGTAAATGGTTATTTTCCTTTGCTGGCTGAAGACTGTAAGTTGTTGGGAGCGCTCAGGAAGATGGGATCGTTGTCTGGCAAGAGCATACTAGTGTGGAGAGCAGTGAAAGCTGTAAGAGCCAGGGAAACCAGTACCGAGAGAGACGATAACACCAGCATCAGCCCGTGGGCTATCTCACCATTCACCTCCTCCGCGTACTCCGACGAAGCAAGTGCCAGCGATGTCAATGGGAAAGAATAAGCCCACCATGCAACATTGAATCTCTTCATCGATTTCTTGAACAAGGTTGGCCTGAATATCTGTTTTCAAATGGAGAACAGAATGATCGTAGAAAAACATTAGAATCTCTTCATTCACCGTTGTTTGTTGTTTTTTAACTTCAAAATCCAAATTATAAATTATAAGGCCTATTCTTTTTTTTTTTTAGTTTTGCTTCTGGGTTCTAAAGCATCTTCTCTAAGTAATGCCGAGAATACCGACAGAACATTGATTCATGGATAGTGTACCTACTACCTCGCTCAGTCGTTCCCTTCATCATTTACTTGTTCAACTTCAACACAGATGACAGAGACAGAGAAAAAATAAATAAAAAAACAGAAAAATCACCGACTGTCAATTGGTAGACCGCACGTGCTGTATCCATCAACATGGTACCACCAAAACCGACTTCGATGTCGTCGGCCTGATCACCTTCACAAGAATTCATGCATCGTCTCCTCCTTTCCAAGTCAGAGAGTTGCGTAAATGTCGATGGGTTTGAGGGACCAACCCAATTCTTTTTTCATTTTTTTTTTTTTCTTTCAAGGGTTTTGGGTCTCAATCCTTACTTAAATACTCCAAATATGGTCACTTTCAATCTTAATCACCTGTTTGTTAACATAATTTTAATGCGTTGAATTAAATAAATTAATTACCAGAGATGTGAATAGGAAGAGCGACAAGAAGAAGAGCATCTTGGATGGGGTGTCGAAGTTTCCGGAAATGGAGTCCCAGGCCAAGCTAGCCATGCTCGGCGCTGCGAAGAACAAGAAGAAGACGGGCCTAAGCATCGCCGGAAGGCGATCGCTCCCCGAAAACCTCTGATAAAGTGTCACGAAGAGCACAAGATAATGTGCCATTCCCAATGAGAACATACACATTGCGCTCTCTTTCCATCCCATCTCAGCCGCGGCTCTGGCCCCCACCAAGTTCCCGATGACCGACAACTGACTAGTCGGGTTCGCCACCGTCGATAAGAACCGCTTCCCTTTTGTAAACCATTGGCCATAGATCTTCACGTCGAGCGCCACCACGGGGATTATGAAAACCCACCAAAGCACCATATAGGGAAAGGTTTTTGGAGCTAAGAAAGGAGCAGATTGCAGCAAGAGGAGCCATGAGATCCACGGAGCGAAGAGATAGTTGACGCCTACATGGTGCAAGAACTCAGCCTTCACCATACGAAAGTAAAAGAAGCATCGAAGTATGTAGAGAAGAGAGAGTGTGACAAGTATGAAAAGGGCGATAGACCAGAGAAGGGCGAAGGCCTTCGAAGGGAACATGCTTAGTAGTCTCCTTGGGGCAAACGAGGCGCCGGTGGGCTCGGCTATCGTCTTCCACAGCAAGGCCTGTCCACAGAAAGAGAGGCTGATCCTGAAATAGCCAGCATGAAATCTAGCTAGGACCGGCGATGAGGATCTCTTGGTGCCAATTTCTCGATGTCGATGTGCTGGGATGTTAATAATGGATTCATCGATCACTACGTCGACCTGGGTTTGAGATTGCATGTCATCCATAGCAGTTAACTTGGTCTTAATTGGTATAGCATAAGTGGTAAGAAGGAAGGGTTGTATGGGTTTTTGGTCGGTGATCGATTTGGGCGCCGTTGCTTGCGCAGTCCGCTCCGCAGAGAAGCACCCTGCTGGTGCTGCTTTATATAGACGAAGCTGGGCGAGAGAGGCCGTGCCGCCCGTGCGCGCGCAATTGTACGAAGAATAGATGGGGAGACAGGCGGCTGACTTTGCTAACCTTTTCAGACTTTTGTGCTAACGTTTTGGTTGTGGATGTGGAACTGGAACCAATTCAAGGGCCCCACTTTTAAAGGTGCGGGTCCCACCACGGCGCAGCTCAACTGTCATTGGTCCTGGCCGGCTTATTCAATGAGAATATGAGATGAGCCACACATTACTGGATGTTTTGCTTCAGCCTACGCTTCAGCGTAGATAGAGGTGTAAATCGGGCCGGATCGCGCACGGCCCGGCACCTCAAAACAGCTAATGGGCCGTGTCAGGCCCGACATAGAGGTCCATGCCGTGTTGGGCTGGGGGTTCGAGGCCCATGGGTGGGTATGGCACAAAGTATGGCCCACCATAGGCCGGCAAAGCATGCCCCGCCAGGCCCGTAATGGGCCACGCTAAGCCCGCCTTGGAATATAACCGTTGGGCCCCCTCTCAAAGGAGTCCAATGACTAGTTTTAGCTTTTGGGGGGGGTTACAGAAATACCCCCCCAACACCTATAAAAAGCCATATTAAGGGGGTATTTCTGTATTTTACTTATGGAGGCTTGAGAAAATGATATAAATGCCCCCCAACAGCTATATAACAACTAGTTTAGGGGGGCATTTTGGGTAAAGTGATAACTTTACAACGACCAAAATACCCCTCCCAACAACTAAATAAAAAATAGTTTTTTGGGTATTTTGGGCAATTGAATTATGTCCAATTCCTATAAATAGCCCTATCCACCACCATTTCATCACACCAATTCAACAATTCTCTTAATTCTCTCTCTCTCTCTCTCTCTCTCTCTCTCTCTCTCTCTCTCTCTCCCTCCCTCTCCCTCTCTCTCCCTCTCTCATACTCATATTCTCAATTATGTGCAATCTGAGAAATTCTGATTCTGCATTCTCCAATTCTCAAGTCTCAACTTTATCGAAGTTTCGATTTTCAACAAGAAGAAGGCTTGCTCAACCAACTCAAGTATCTCAATTCGGGAGGCTTAGACATTGAAACGCTTCAACCGTTGAAATCAAGTTGGGATTTTGAACTGGCAATCCGGGTAAGTCGAATTAGATTAATTTTTATCTTTTCAAAATTAAAAAAAAATGGCCGCTCCTTCTCAAAACCGATTGCCCAACATGTTCACCATGGATGATGATGAAGGGTGGTTTGGCATGACCTAGTAATAAGGGGACAGGTGGACACGATCTGACTAAGAGATAACAGCTCAGCCTGACATGCCAAGTCCGCAACAGATCGAGCTCGGATATTCAACCACCTCAGCACGGGTCACCTCGGTACAAGGTCGCAACAGGATCACCTCGGCCCCAAAGCACTTTGACATTCACTCCAGTTCGGAACTAAAGAGCATCAGCTCGGGGATACTGACCGGACCACTACGTGACGATCCCGGAAATCTCTCCATTAGATTTCGGGCCACACGGGATCATGCCTCATAATGGCAAGCCTTATCTTCCCCCCACCCAGTTCGGGCGGAATTGATAAGCCTTATCAGTTGGTCACATTATCCTCCAACTAAAGTGGAAACGGATCCCATCGTGACAAAGATCCCGGAACCGATCCACAAAACCCGCGAGGACTCAGCTATATAAAGGCTCCAACTCCGATGGCACAAGGTATGCATGAGTTCTCTGCTCTCTAGCTCTCTAGCTCTCTACATTCTCAAAGTTATTTCAGTTCGCAAACAGCTTACTAACTTAAGCATCAGAGCGACCTTGCTGGGCTAGCCACCCCGGGTTGTCTGGTCTTATTTTGCAAATTCATCTAGCTCGTCGTCCAACTGGAAGCCAGATCATCCTCCAGCAGGGAGCAATCAGATCGCGCTACATCAATTGGCGCTGTCTATGGGAATCGCTACAAAAAGCCTTCTCCACAATCAACAACTCATTTGAAATCAATGGCATCTTCTAGTCATACCAGACAGAGCACTGAAATGAACGTCTCTGGGGGGCAACCTCAGTTTCCATCAGTCCGCATTGGTCAGTTCACCATACCGCTCACTGCAGATGGGGTCCCAACACTGACCATGCAACAAGCTACTACGCAGGTAAACGCACCACTCCCTCCTGTAGTTGGCGCAACCTTCACTGAACCGTATATGGTTCCCCTGGGAGTCGGGCAATCCCAGTTCGACGACCTGGTACACTGCGTGCGGGCCATTCCAGTCCAAATGCAACAAGTCCAACAATTCCAGCAATACCAGCAACAGATGTTCTACCAATTCTACCAGCTGTAGTTCCCTCCACTGCCACAAAGCTAGCAGCCGGTTCTACCCCGGCACCCAGCAACTCAGCAGAACTGACCTCGCGTGCAAGACATCACTCGACCTCACCATCGAGGCAAGGAGACTTCTCAGGTCCCAGTCCCTCTTAAGAGCCAGGTCTCACCTCGTGCGAGGAGAGACAGACACATCACTCCGACTGCTTCGCAAGACAACCTTGGAAACAGGTCCGGAGACACTTAGCCTGCTAGAGCCATTCTTCCTCGGCGTTCACATCAAGAAGGTGGTTCGCTCGCAAGTAACCGGTTCGGGGTTCTGACCGCGAACTCAAGGCAAGGCCCTTCCATCCATGGTAGTCAGCCTTAACATCCAGGGAACCAAGAGCTACCTCGCGGCAGAACAGTACCAGACCACACAGAGGTTAGCAGCACCAGTGTAGAGCCAACGAAGGCGTCGCAAGGCACACCAAACTTCAGCTCAGAACAGCCAGCTCACGAGGCCAAACTAGCAAAAACAGATTAAAGGTAAAGAAGAGGCAAGCTCAGTAGCCACAAAGACCGCTCCTCTCCTCTCCAGGTCGTCCCCTCTGTCCTCTGAGCTGTTGGCGACCCCGATGCCCAAAGACTTCAAAATGCCTCCCCTCGACAAGTAAGATGAATCTTTAGATACTAACGATCATGTAGACTCTTTTCAGTCCCAGATGCACCTAGCTGGGGCTGACGAGTCCTGCAAGTGTGTGGCTTTCTCTACCACATTCAAAGGAGTAGCTCGCGCATGGTACAGGAACCTCGTGCCAGGAACAATCAAGAGTTGGGCACAGTTCGTGGAGTTGTTCACCTCACACTTCATCACCAGCAAGAAGTGTTCGAGATCCCAAGAAAGTCTCCTCAATGTAGTTCAAAGAGAAGGGGAGTCCATCAGAAGTTACATCAAGCGCTTCAATGACACCTGCCTGTAGATCCCCGACCTAGACCCAGCAGTGAGGCTCACGGAAGCAAAGAAGGGCATAACTCACAGGGAGCTCAAATGGCATGTGGTGGCCAACAAGCCGAAAGACATCACAGAATTCCTCAAGCTCGCCAATAAGTTCATCGGGACCGAGGAAGAGATGAATCAGAGGACCGATAATCCAGCAGAAAAGAGAAAAAGAGGAGGTGACAACCCAGGTAATGACAGGAATAAACGAAGGAAGAGCAAGTCCCCGACCAGGGGGAAACAAGTCTGGAAGCCGATCTCCTTCACTATCTCGCAAATCAGGTCGGCATTCCCGAACTCCCCCTGTTGAAAGAACGAGCTATACACCCCTCAACGCGAAGCGAGGAGAAATCCTGATGGCAATCAAAGACTCCTCTTATGTCAAGTGGCCACCTTGGTTGAGAAGAGATCCCGCCACCAGGAACAGGAACGTTTACTATCACTTTCACAAAGACCACGGACATAGTACAGAGAACTGTAGGAACCTCGGCGACGAGATCGAAGAGCTCATCCGTCGCGGGTATCTGAAAAATTTTATACAAAGAGAAGAAAAAAACCAAGTAGATCGGAAAACCGACCGGTAGGGGGACCAGAGAAGAAATGCTCCTGAGTCCAGCAGCAGACAGAGTGAGCAGCTGCCACGGTAGTTGCCCGAAGAACGGCCAATCCGCGGAGTAATCAATATGATTACTGGTGGGTCCATCATCGCGGGCTGCACTTCGACAGCAGGTCGAACTTTAGTTTGCGAATTACAAAACGAGGAGCAAAACCCGCTGAAGCGACCCAGACTTGAAGACCCTATCTACTTCACGGAGGATGATGCGCGCGGGATCCAATATCCTCATGATGACGCGCGGGATCCAATATCCCCAAAGTCAAGCACGTCCTAGTGGACTCAAGTAGCTCGGCTGACATTCTGTTCAAGGACGTCTTCGACAAGCTCCAGCTCTAGGAAAGCGACCTTGAGCCAACGGATACCCCCCTAGTAGGCTTCAACGGCGAGGAAGTCATACCTCTAGGGCGAGTCTCAGTACCCGTAGAGGTTGGCACGTGGCCAAATATTGTAAGGTTCGAGCACACGTTCTTAGTGGTCGCAACTCCCTCCCCGTACAATGCCATAGTAGGTCAGCCCATTACGCACGCACTACGTGTGGTAGTATCCACCTACTATTTGGCAATGAAGTTCCCTACGGACTATGAAGTAGGGGTTGTGCGAGGCGACCAGCTCGAATCTCACAAATGCTACGTCGTCACCCTCAAGGGGAAAGCCAAGTTAGCGGTTGACATCGAGCTCAAGTGACCTATGGAGTATGCCAAGGAGCGAGCTACACCAACAGAGGAGACGGTTCACATCTCAGTCCCAAAAGATGATCCAGCTAAGACCCTCCAAATTGGCGCTTCGATCGAGGAACCACTTCGCTCTCAGCTGGTAAGTTTTTTACTTAAAAATTTAGAGGTATTTGCTTGGTCTGCGGTAGAAATGCCTAGAATATACTCTAAAATATTAATTCATAAGTTAAACACCAATCCCTTAGTTAGGCCAGTTAGACAGAAAAAGCACAACCTCGCCCCGAAACGTTGGAGGATAGTCAATGAAGAGGTCGGGAAGCTCTTAGCGGCAGACTTCATCAGAGAAGTCCATTACCCGAGCTGGGTGGCTAACCCAGTTCTAGTGAAAAAG